GAGTTTTGTTGGTCAGCTAACTTCACTGTTTCTTAATTATTCTTATCGGGTTAATGGATATGATTCGGAGGAGGAATATTGTTTGAGCCGAAAACACTTTCTTTCTTTCTTGCATATACTATTTTTATGCACTTAAGTGTATATGTACGTAAGCTACTTTGTAAGTATCAAAGTCTTAGTGACAGAAGTGGATCTTGGTACCTTAACTGACACTTGGAACTTGAAAGACAGGGATGTACGTATCGCTGTTAGTGTGTCGCAATGCACCTGCGTGTGTTCGTGTCTTGTCTGATATTATCGAAGCTTCGAATTGAATTTCTGATTTCTATTTTTCAACTTTAATTAAATTGTTCTTTGTTTTTGCGATGCTGCGCCATTGACTGTCTCCTTCACACATACACATCCACATACACATTGTGTCCACATGACCAAACCAAGACAATTCTCCTAGGAACATTAGCAATTCTATAATACCAACCAATTTAATACTCCATGCATCGTCAACAACCTCCATCATGGAAGCCTCTCCCCTGACCCAACAGGCTCGACCTGAATCTTTCCAGCCGAAAATCGTCCAGTTATACGAGGCGCTATTCAAGGTTCGGGATCACTGGCTCTTTATGATGTTGCATTAGGACTGGCTAGAAAAAGCTGACAATGGTATTTTCAAGGTATGTAGGTCGTTCGATTTTGAAGTAACACCCTTCTGCGCCTACTATTTCCCAGATACTGGGTCGCTGATCACCCAACCCCCGAATAGGATGATATCGATATAGAGGGAGATAAGCCTGAGGGCTTCTGGCGCGAGTTCTTCCTACTGAACCCCGACCGACCCTCCCTACAGAAAATACTTGCCAGGCTGAGTCCAGACGACCTAATAAACCTGCAAGCGCAAACACAACAGCTGTTCTTCCGAGCCGTCGAATGCTTGAAAAAGGGTGGTGCCGTGGCCGACTTACACGCTCTCGAGGTATCATCGATCCTTGTTCCAACGATACATCACCCAGAACACTTCTCCTGACTTTTATAGACTCTGACCACCTTCTTTTCTGCTGTTCTCCCTAAAAAGTATACCAACCCAAGCTCCGATATCATAGCTGTTCTAGCAGGGCTAGACCAGGTGGATGCCGTCTTCACCGATTTCGTAGGAGCCTTGGACGGCATAATTCGCAATGGCAACTCCAGTAGGTCGGCTTGACTAGCGAGACTGGATAGTTAAAGGTGCTGATGACTGTACAGTGGAGGTCCGGCAGAGAGCCGTGGAAGTTGTCCTATCCATTACTTCGGGCGCTTACCAGACCAGCATCCTGACTTACTTCATACAACGGGACCTTTTCCCGGCCATAATGAAGGTCAGTTTCACTTGCGTGGCATGCAGCTACCAATGCTGACGTTGTGGTCTTAGTTTATTCAGGAATCAGACTCAACTCTCAGGGTCCAGGAACCCTTTACGCTACTAGGTCTGCTTGCAAACTATAACAAATTCGAGTTTCAGAATCCCTATCAACTACGATTGAACGATTTCGTCAACGAGGCGGCCATACAAAAGATTGTTAGATGTGTCGGATATACATGCCGTAATTTGAGGGGTCAATATATCGATATCATTCAGGATCTGCCCGAGGGATGGTCTATCAGCAGCACTCTGAGTATGATTGGACTTGGTGCTATTGCTCCCGGCGCAAAGGCAAACCAAAAGCCAACATACGATCCAGAGGTAACTAAGCAGATGTTCGCAAAATTGTAGGTTCCAGCCCGCTTACCCGTCTGCCCAACTACACACACGACTAATTCAAATAGACCGGGAGAAGATGCTGCCGTGCTGCTAGGGACATATGACTTTAGTCATGCTAACAAACTGTTTTGCTTTAATCTCGTCACATTGTCTGCCGAGAAGGGTGAAGAGCAGCCAATTGCAAGCTTTTTATCCTTGACATCTTACCTCCTCCAACATGCCTTCCTCTCCTCCCGAGCTACCAACTATGCTCATCTCAGCCTGATGGTTTTTCGACTCCTCATCGAAGACCAACTCTTGTGCAAACGAGTGTGTAGCGATGAGAGTAAAGTTGCTGTCAGACTTTGTCGCCAGCGACAGCCATTCCTGCCGGCCGTTCGAGGCGAACGCATCCTGGCAACCAGTGTGTTAGATACGATGATCGACGGCATCAACCACAATCTGCGCCGAAGGTTGGACGTCAGCCTTTACACTTTATGTGTTGGTATTATGCTGCGTATTATTTCGTACCTATCACGGTCACGAACACGATTGCAGTACCATTGGTCCGAGCTGTTCCGTTCACTCTTATCTCTCATTCGCTTCATTACGACCTATGCCGCTGACCTCAAAGGCCTCTCGCACTTTGATTCGCTCTTAGATCTTATCGTGAATCTCCTAGCTCTCTCCCTCTCCGCAGGCGAGGCCTTCCTTCCCACACCAGCCACCTACGATGATCTATTTTACAAGGTTGTAGAGAGCGGCGAGGTCTTGACGAAGTTCCGCGATACCTACAGCCTATCTAGCCGACCGTCAAATTCTATAGGTACACTGATCAGCGTGAGCACGCACTACAAGACGATGCTGGACTCGGGCGGCTCCAAGAGGAATCTTACTAGCACCGAAGTAGCCGAGGTAATCAAGCAGGGCTATGAAACCTTAAGCATACAGGCAAAGGAGGGTCTTGATGGGTGGGAGAGGTACCGTGAAGCTGATGAAAGGACTCTTCTCAAGAAGATGGCTCGGGCGACGGTCACGGATGTGCAGGTCATTGTCCAAGCTTAGATGACTCGGCGCCATGATGGCTAAAGATTAAGAGAGCCCATAGGAATGTATGTATTCCTCTGACGACTATCTAATCAAAGAAGCCAGGTGAAATGAATGTGTATTATTTGGTCAGAGTTTCTGTGCAGAGATGGTGAAAGTTAGAAGTCAAGGATAAATGATACATGAGGTTTGTAGTTACGACTTTCTGGTAACCACAACATTGGTATCACAGCTGAAGAGCAATACGCTCCGTGGTCTTGGCTGGGGTATCATAAGCAAAGGTAACAAACCCCTGTTCTTTAATACTATTTCCCCGGTATCCCTAAAGACAAAACATGACTGACTTGAATAGACATATTGAAATAATAATACAAATTATTAAACGCGCCAGATCGCCGAGGCTGGTGAACAAGCCTCCACCCATTTCGACCAACGTTTATTCGTAGAACTTTCGCGGCCATATGTTCATCGCCGTCTTCAGACCTTCGTCGACCGGCAAGCCAGCATGGATAGTCCGGTCGTCCCCCGTACCATTGGCGAACAAATTAACCCACTATAATAAGAAAGATTAGCAACAGGTACTTTGGAGAGATAGAGGTCTCAAGCATAGCCTGATAGATGCGAGCTTTACAGGTAGTGAATCAGATAAATAATTACGGTTTGTAGTGTAGGTTAGGGAGACCAAATGGTTTGAAGATAGGGGGTAAAGAAGCGAAGAGCCAGATGCACATACGAACAATGCATTGCCAGCAACGGGCTTAAACGCTACGCCTCCGTCCTCATGCGTCCTCCACAGCTGGCTGCCCTCCTCCTCCGTCTTTGGGAACGCAGTCGAGTTCACGAAGGGAAACCATGTTTCGCCACCTGTACACTGATCTTGTAGGATAGCGAAGAAGCTGGCGACGCGGTTCCAACTCTTCCCTCGGCCCAGCATCCCCCGACGCGTAGGCTGGGGCCTCTCATACCAGTCGTGATGTTGGTTGAAGCGCTGGCCGGCCGTGTAGCGCACCAGCTGCGGCGGGCCGATGTCGTCTCGGGAGGTGTCGAGCATAGCGCCGAGGAAGCTCTCAGCCCGGGCTAGCACGCACTCTACGGCCGGATCATCGCGGGGCAGACCGGCAGACGCAGAGGTGCGATCGGATGTGTCTTGGTTCCGGCCGCTCTTGTGGACTTTGGACGGAGCGAAACGGGGCTCTCCGGCTTCGAGGAGGGCTTCTATCTCCGTTGGTGAGAGGAACGAGTCGATATAGATGAGAAGAGGATCAAGCGATACGATCTCGGTCTTGTAAGTGTGAGGGACGCAAGTGAAAGATGATGAGGGGTGATGAACTAGGTCCCGACCAAAGAGCTCTGAAATTGTCGGCGAGACAGACGAAAGTTGTGACGATACTTCTGCTAGATATGGCGACGCGAATCGGTAAAGGACCGGTGCTAATATAGCTAGTACCGTGATAGCGAGGGCTACAATGCCCGACGAACGTGCTATCGGAGCCATGATGAGCTACAACTACTGCTATCTCTTTACTAGATGGCCAGCGTAAGAGTTTTTACGACATACATCGATGTAAGCAACAAAGCAATGACCAGCCGGTTCAAGGATTGCAGTCAGTCAAAGATAAACCACATAATCCAATCATCTCCCGACGCTGCTTAGGGAGTTGTTACCAATAACATATGATCCCCCTCCTCACCGTATTCGGAGTGCCTAGTTCCGAGCGAATCCTTTTACACCTGAGCAACCACTCACTGATGCTAGTCGCTACCGGTGGCATGAGTGGTGACACTGCATTTGCAGGCTGAAAAAAGAACCTGGGTTTTGGAGATGGAGGAGTGCAACGCATTGGGGGGGGGGGGGAACTGACCGAACTGAGTACCAAAAACGGTTATTCGGATGTGACGCATCATTTTGCTCCCATGTCCAAATGCCCAAATGCAACGTATGTGAACGTGATTTCTACCTATAAGATCCAACTATTGCCAGCATCGTCGAGGGTTGTCATGGAACATATTATGTAACGGTATGAAGACTCTAACAGTATTTCAGAGCCGAACTCGTAAGACTAGCCCTACGGGAGCCCCTATTAAATATAGAGATCGTCACATCTGTCAAAGTTGCATATACTGGAGAACCTGGTAGTTATATTTATTAATTATTAATCGACCTACACGCTAGATATATACATATAAAAGGAAGAGAGAAAAAGAAAACAAAAAGAAAACAAAAAGAAATGACTTTATCCTCTCGATCGGGGAATTGAACCCCGGCCACCTGCGAATTTTGTACCGGATGACAAGCAGGTATCCTAACCACTAGACGAATCGAGACTTGCAGAGGACGAACCAAGGCGATTGAATGTTACGTTTCTTAAATTTCTTTATAGGAGAGATGGTCTTGACTACTAGTCCTAGCCTCGGGGATTAAATGCAAGCTGTGGATCGCTCTTCATCGCTCTTAGAATGGCTAACAACTTGTAAGTGTGTTAATAGTAAGATGTATCGGTTTCCATGTAAGTGAGGAATCAGGAACAAACGAACTCCAGAGCGTCCTTTACTTCTAATTTTTCTAATTCGACTTCCGCCAAGGCGGCGTCTTTCGCAAGACTTGCCATCTTCGTACTGCCGTAATTACGGGCGATGTGACCTAGTCCGTCGCATTTACTATAGCATGCAACAACGGATGTCGGCATGCGTGGGTCGTGTTAGTGCCCCGTTCGCTAAAACGAGATCACGGAGTTTCCTACTATGTAGTGTTTTTCTATTATTTTCGTCTTCGGACGTAGTAGTGACATTGTCAATGACTGTGTGCTCAAGTTGTTTTGCTGTATGGACGCTTTCCTGCGTATTCGCCGTGGTGAGATAATGCAGAAGTGTTAAAATCGACTCATCCGGGTCCACGGGGGTCGGCGCGGCCTTTGCCGCAAATAATTATAGGGGCATGCGGTTTGGTCTTCATCGGGCGGCTTCTTAGGCTACGCAAGCGCGATATGAGGTAAACTCCTTTGCGAGTATATCAATCGGAAGCTGTCTCGGAAATTAATCCTGCAGTCGATGGCAATTGTGAATGGTGCCTGTAAGATAAGCAAACGGTCATGGGGATGCACCTCCTGCTTTAATATAGGTGATCTTGGATAGTCTAACACGATGCGAAGGACCTACTTACCTTATTATTATGTGCCTGAGGCCCCCCTGATTAGGGGTATGTGGCGCTATACCTGATTAGCGTGTTCTACCTATTCTACATTTGACGTAAGGATGAGACTCAGTGTTACCAAACACAACTACACGACGACTTCAAGATGTCGAACGGAAACGTAGACCCTCAATTACTTCTAGTGCGTCGGCAATACATGCAGTTATTTGAACCCGACTTCCTCGCTTGGCCGTCACCAAAATACCTCAAAGATACAGACATCCAGAAATGGTTGTACAAGTACTTGTTTGACCCACGTCGAAATCCAAGGTTGCCACCCGCGAGTTACCAGGTGCGCGTCCTAGAACAGCTCATTGCCAAGATCAATAAGACGATACATAACACCGAAGAAGACGTACGTACTGAATTTAGTCTGATCAACTCGAAAATCCATCTGAACTTTTCCAGGCGATATTGGGCGAACTCGCGACATGTCTTGAAGCTTTCGTGGCCAGAGGTGTGCCGTCGGAGTCCCAGACAACCCAAGAGAATGCATACGTGATATTTACATGCATACTAGAGAAGAACGCACTAGACTGGGACCAATATGATGATACTTCAGAACCTACAGTCACGATACTTGAGCGGCGACACTTGGTATCAGGCTCAAGAACGACAGGCTTCCGCACCTGGGAGGGATCCCTTCACCTGGGCTCGTACTTACTAACTGAAGCTGGTTCAAATCTAATCAATGGGAAGAATGTGCTGGAGCTCGGTGCCGGTACCGGATTTCTCACCATTCTCTCCGCCAAGCATTTGCATGCAAGCCATGTCACCGCCACAGATGGCGATGAAGGGGTCATTGAGACATTGAAAGAGAACCTCGATCTAAATGAACTCGGCGATAGGAAGATAGTCAGAGCCGGAACTTTGACGTGGGGTCGTGATCTTAGAGGAACTTGGGTCGAAGAGGATTGCAATGCTCACCCTTACGATGTTATTCTTGGTGCTGATATAGTAAGTACTTGTGACTTGATGGCGGGGTTTGAGGGATTGGACACTGATAAACACGCATGGCACAGACGTATGAGAAAACGGCTGTATTAGCCTTGGTATCAACGCTTTTACACCTCTTTGATATGAGAAGACAACTCAAAGTTATTATATCGAGCGTGGTTCGTAATGCAGAAACATTCCAAACGTTCAGAAGCGAGTGCAGTATGTATATGTGCATTCCTATCAACATAACATTCTAATGTTTTCAGTTCGCGGCGGCCTTACGATCGAAGATATCTTGTTCGAACCAAAGCCGATGCGTCAGCAAAAATCACTCTTCTACGCGGCTGCAATGCCTATTAAGATTTTATCTATTACCCGTCCATAGGAATAAGCACAATGGGATTACGAATACAACGGATATAGACGTCACGATACAAGGTAGATGGAGTTTGGCTTTTTAGGGGCCGCTACATATCCTATTGTATCGGTTTACGCAACACCTTTTCCACCCCCCCCAAAAAACGCATCGCTTTCCAGTTTTCTCATGCCAAAAAGGCATATACGAGTGTGGAGATGCCAGCCCAAAACTTGACGCCCTGCGCATATATACCACCTACGGCGACAGGAGCCACAGAACTGCTCTCGGTTGCTGATGCACTTTCCTCGGGAGCTGTCGCGGATGTGGATGCGGATGGCGTAGCAGACGGAGTAATATCCGTTCCATTGCCTTCGCTGTCATGGAAGAGTTCCGGGAAGAGCTGAGTTGAGTTCTTATCTTTGATGATGCCATGGATAATTGTAGCAGTGCCGTTCTTGACACTCTCGATCTGCTCGTCTGTGCAGGTGGACGAGTCGTAGATGTAGCAGAAATGAAGCAAGTCCGGCGGGTCTTCGTTCTTGATAGCCCATGTATCAGCGGGGCCTTCGGTAACGTAGTCCTGATTTTCAACTAGATCGACCGTACCCGTCGCGAGGTCCTTGTTGAACAAGGCGCGATTGAACAGCTGATACGCCGTCTCGGGTTGGTACGCTGGAACTTCGTGGCCAGCCTCATATACGCGGGAGAATGAAAAGTTGCCGTACTGGCGAACCTGGCCCCCGACGTATGAGTCGTTGGTGACAATGTCTGTGTATCCCGCGGCGTGGAATTTCTCGGTGCCGGTATAGTTGATAGCCAAACTGACAGCTTCACCACCTATCCAATTGCACGCGAAGTCTCGGTCGCCATATATCAAGTGCACTTTGATTCCATTTTCGAGCAAAAAGGATAGGTCCTCGATCCACCCAGGCCGAGGGTAATCACCTATACCCCTGAAGGCATAAGCAACGGCGTCAGATGATTGGGTGAAGTTGATAGGGACGCCGAGAGCAGTCTGAACGTGAGGTTGGTTCAGATACTGATTATAAAACGGGGCCGGGAATGGGTTAGGATCCAAAGAAGCATAGTCGTAGTAGTTACGTCCTGCAAACTCAAGATAGGGGTCTCGGACTTTATTGGAGCAGAATGTCTCGGCATCAGAACAAACCTCGTTAACAGTGTCATTAACACCGATGTTGTCGGGGTCGTACACAAGCGACAGAGCGCGGCAGTCGTTAATCTGGTCGCGACACCCACCAGGTCGCTCAAGAGCGTCTACCATCTGCAGATAGATGGTCTCATTAACAGTTTCTAGCCCGTATGTGTTGTTGTATGCTATGTGCGGATATGCGGGCCATTGTATCTGCCGATCGATGCAAGAGTTGATCAGGATGAGCGTGTCGAGGTTGATGATGTAGTTCTCGCCATCTGTATCATTCCACGTGCCGTTTTCGATCTTCAGATTTTGCTCCTCGAAAAAGGCAGTAAACTCGGGACCATACCTCCCACCGTACGACTCGGTAGCAAGGCTAACCCTAGAGTCGTTGGGATGATAGCCGGGAAACTCCTGGAACCAAGTCTGCGCAAAGTGCCACAGCGCAATTGCGGCATTACGAGTCCCTATGGCAGTCTGGTTCCTATTCTGGCTTGGATATGTACCGAGTAGGAGCGTGGTATTCTGTTCGGGGATGGTGTCTGTCTCGTTGAGACTAACAGCCTCCCCAGTCGCAAGATCTTTGGTAACATTTTGTAACGTGTCGTATGAGAAGCCGACTTGAGTAGGCTGGTCAATGTAAAGAATGTTGACTGGTACCGATTAGCAAAACAACATCTAAAATCAGGCCCGTGTTAGAAATGTTTTTATTCAACCTACCGTCGGTGTTCCATGCCCATTCGCTTAGCCTAGTTGAGTTGGAGTCGGAATTGACATAACAGGGACCATTCTCGGTGAAGAGACCATATAATGAACTACTCCCAGGACCACCATTCAGCCATATTGATAAGGGCGCATTTTCTGGGTCATTACGGGCCTCAAAGAACCAGAAAAAGGTATTGATTGGATACTCCTGCTTCTCTCCTAGATCTTCGAGAGAACCCGGTGGGAGGTGAATATAGCCAGCATAGGACTTAACACCCGGTGTCGTCTCACAGATTCCTGGCTTTTGGATAGAGTTAGTCCTAGGGTTTTCTAAAGGTATTTAGTACACAGAATGTCATCTTCTTACCTCCTTATAACTAATCGTCACACCGCCACCAAACCTGGACTCGAGGACAGTCACATTTTTTGGTGCTGGTGGGAATTGGGCTCCGGTGAACGGTAGTAGCAGGGAGAGACCAAAGACCTGGCCGAGACGGATCGGCAACATGACGAACGAAGTCAAGAGTGTGCACTCTTGCGCTGTATGTCTTACTAGGACTGCTGGGCGCCATTGTTCGTTTTATATCTCGGATGGTTTATCACATCTGCCCCCGCACTTTCGTCATCCATGATAGCATCGCCTGCAACCTTGCCAGCGAGATACATCTTGAAGACTACCTATGAAGATGAAGCTGTAGAGCGATTGCTGATCATTGAGTCAAGGCTAGAATCTTGGCAACTTGACCCTCAACCCGTTCAGAGAGCCAATGAAGTTGGGTTGTTCTTGAACGTATCGTGTGTTGTGATGTAGGACGACTTCGCAGTAATACAATTGAGGAAGGTCGCAGTATGCCGCGCATGAAGAGGCGTACGATTTGGCTTATAGGAGCTACCCCGCTTGCGGACCAAGTCTAGAAAGTTGGGGGAATTGTTGGAGTCTTGGAGCTGGGAGACCGGAGACTCGAGACTGGGGTCGTCTG